CAGTGTTTTTACCTTTAATCACCGTCCGTTTGCTTTGGAGATTTGATTGTGATTGTGGTTTGCTGTGCATGCAGAGCCTGCATGTCACTCACTCAAGTACCCCTGACATGAGAGCCGCGCAAGTTTTCCTTTTGTAGCAAGTAGCAAAATAATTGTAACATGACGTGTTTGAGTTAATTTGCCTACTTAATATCGCAAGTCCTAAAAAATAAAAAATACAGATTAAAAGAATCTCACGTGATGTGAGTATTGCGGATGCGCATATCGCGATTATCGTGCAGCCCTAACAGCAGCCACTGCTCGCATTGAAAACATTGCCAGACAACGCATATTTTTAAAGGATTGACGTGTAAACTGAAAGTACTGCAGCATCTCTACCCTGCACAGGATTTCCTAAAACAGCAGGATGATTCAGACTGCAGCAGCGCTTTCACACTCCCATTACATGTTATTCCAGACTTAAAAATGTTGAGCTTGTCCTCAACTTAGAATCTGTCATGAATTATTTATGCTTTCTAAGTGCTGTCTAACCCCAATTCAATCAGGAGAGACGTTGATGTATGGAATACATGTTTATTACTGGGACACGTAATATGAATGTAATAATGATTGTCAGAATTATAAAAATGGAATGGTGTTTGACGATTAGGCCCCAGTTTGCAGGATAATCATTCAGGAGGGGGAAGAACCACTCCGATGAAACCCCCCGGGGTCTAGACACTGGTGGTGGTGATAAGTAGGTGGGACCGGTCTGAAGGGAGAAGGTTTAACTTGGCTCTGTAGGAGACGGGAGGCGAAAGGGGTGGAGGAGGGTTGCGTATTGTCACCTGAAATGACAGCTGACAAGAGGGAAGAGCAGATTTTAAAGGGATTAGCGGGTGCAACGATAGGTTTGTAAGAATGGAGAGAGGAGCGATTGGTTAGCGATTGGTTAGCTGGGGAGTGACATGTAATATGAGTGAAGAGCTTGGTCTTCCTGATTGAACTTGCGTTGAGCTTTCATTTGTTGTTTTTTCAGGGTTTCGTCACTATGCAGATGGTGTGTTCTCAGGAGATGCATAATCTCGGTTACGCCTGGAAAAGCATCAAAGAACAGCTTGGGGAGAATTTCGAGCAACACGTACGAGGAATGACCTTCCTCAAAGGCAAATTGGTATGTAAACACACACATATGTGGCTCATATAAGAATTAAAGACTGTATTTGTTGCATACGTATTTTTTAATTCCGGATCACAATGTATGGAAGCTATTGAGAAATGTCAGATTTTCCGATGCTGCCTCTATATGAAGATAGAGGTTTGAAAAATCTCTGTACTAGCAAGAGTATGTTTTATGTGTCTTCAACATTTTATTCTCAGCATGTAAACAGAAAAATATATGTTATCAAAGAGTACATTTGTAATGCCTGTTGTTTGTCTTTTATTTTGTTTATTACAGGGAGTTTGTTTTGATATCCCAGCTGACAAAGTCAAGGAGATGCAGGTGAGAACAACTGTGAAAACTCCCCTGTTCAATATGTGCACTGGACTGTTTATAGTGTATTCTAGATTGAATTGGTAAAGACAAATAGTCCATGGGAAAATATGAATAATAGATATGCATCAAACTAGATGATTTAATGTAGCTCAATATTTAGCCGGTCAAATGTACATGCGTACTGCAAAGATTCATATGCTTTATTTCATATCCACTATAACTACAGTGGAGTTTTGGCAATAAACATTAAAGTCCCAGGCTCGTTAAACAACAAACAATAGATAAAGATATACAAAAAAAACTATAAATAAAGTATTGCAATAGACATAATGGCGCAAGTAAGTTGTAGGAATAAGACAAATATATACTCATAAAATAGTGTAGAATTACATACTATACATTACAGTTAAAGGTGGGGTAGGTAAGTTTGAGAAACCGGCTCGAGATACACTTTTTGTTATATTCCATGGAATGCTCTTAACATCCCGATAGCAATGAATATCTTAAGTGCTTTGACAACAAATCCATAACAAAATATCATCTGTGGAAGCCGTGGCGCTGTAAAAAGCACGACCAATCATTTTAGCCGGCCCGGCTAAAGTAACTGGATGGCCTACCTGCCTGTCAGCCTTCCATCTGTGCACAAACTTATCTCATGCCCTCATTGGTCATGTGCGCATTCGTGTGTGTTGGAGGAGGGGCTCTGTGAGGAAGTGGCATATTTTTTCCGGCTGTGTATTTTCAAATTCTAGTGCACTCGAGCTGGTTTCTTCAAAATTACCTACCCCACCTTTAATATTGTTATATAAATAAGGACATATGTGGAATGAACAGAAGAACAGTGTATTATAAATATATGGAAGTTGTGGCGCTTCAGAGTTTAGCTCAATTGTATTGTATAAAAAAGGTTAAAAATGTAATTAGTTCATCGGAATTATTGACAGTGTTTCTTGCTGAAGTTGACTAACATCCTGCTTTTTACTTTACCTTGTATCAGGATGGCTGGAAAGATGGTCGTCGTTGGCAACTGACTATAGCCATGGAGCTCCCAGATTTGGAGGAGAAGCAGATGAATAACCGTGGTGATAGAGGGTACGGCGGCGGTAACCGAGGAGGAGGAGGCTTTAGAGGCGGAAGGGGGCGGGGCTTCGGGGGAGGCGGCGGCCGAGGCGGTGGCTTCAGGAGCGGCGGCGGTGGGGGCTTTAGCAGCGCCAGAGGAACACACAAACGTGACTTCAGTGAAGCTTTTGATTATTGAAAAGCCAACCTGCGGACTGATAAGACTGACTGTCACTCACATGGGCTGGCAGGGGTTTTTATTGGCTGTCAGTGAGGGGATCAATGACTCCATCACTACACGAGCTGAATTGTAAGCTCTCAAATATTCACAACTCTCATAATACAGTACATTAAATTACCAATTTCCCCTAAAGTCAACGTTGCACATTTTCCTATGTCTATGTAGCCATTTCTTTCTGGTTTAAAATCAGACTTTTTGGATACAGTATATTGACAGCAGAAAATCCTTTGCAGATCAATTACATGAGACATAGGAGATATACGAGTATATTTAAAGGTTGCAAATAAGCTCCATGCACAGTGCTTCTTTAGATGACACCTGCTGTAGGTCATGACATTTGTGACATTTTTACTTGATGATGTATCGGATAATTCACATGATATGTCTTGAATGTCATAGATTGAATCATTACCTAATCCACCTATAGTAAAAGTGTGACTTTTTGTACTGGGTGTTTGGGTAACGGTGGCAGCAATCAGATTTAAGCCTTTGTCCAAAATATAAGGCACCTTATTATGACCTAAGAACGTGTATTCTTGTGATTCTTGTCACATGACTACACTAAATCGCTCTGTTAATGTCATGAAGGTGTAGTCCTGCACCCTCAGAGTAAAGTGACAAAATGGGTGTCAACCTTTACAGTTGTACTCGGTGTTGGATTGCTGCCTTACCCTCGGCTGAAACCTCTTTCCCAAAAGAGGTGTTGGATGATTGTTTTGCAATTGCCTCTATTTAATAACTGTGTCTACGGCTTCCATTCATTTGAATGAAAATATATTCATTAAAAAAAGGTCAACTCAGGTTGTGTTTATTCTTTGAAATGGGTCTGAAATATGCTTATACATATGCATGAATGTTTAAAGTATCAATTTCAATGTGAACGTCTTGTGTGAGCATAATACTTAAAGAAGATGCAATTATTAGTGCATGCATAATTAATTACTATCAATTTATTGATAAGCAGTTAAAACTGCCACAAGAGTACACAACACCAAGGGGAAACTAAGAACTGCTTCCTAATATGATTTTCTAACCCTTTACCCCATAGAAGTGAGTTAAATAATTACATTTGTCTCAACAGTTAAAACTAATCTTTTTTTATCTAGTCAAAGACATTAAAAATCATGTTAATTGGATAAGATGAATATCCGCCACAAATTTTAAATGCATTTATTGCTAACATGTTTTACAACACATTCATTTCAATCAATTCAGAAGCTTTCAATGGACCTATCGCTAAACCACGCCCCAAATAGAATTTGTCCAATCATATCACAGCAAAAATCCCTCCTGGCAGAAAACTCGGACATCACCAGAAAAGCCGTTTGTGGGGCGCATCAAACCAAAACCAGACGTCTGTGATCGAAACCACTGTGAAGAGTTCAGTTTCTATGTTTATTATCTAGCTAATATCTGATGGTGAAACGCTGTGCGTGGGGTACCTGTAATTCGGACACCAGGTACCCTGAAAGACTGGATGGAGGAGTATATTTCGTACCTTTTCCGAAGCCCAAAACAAAACTCGACAAATGAAAGCGGTGGATTATGCTGTGTCGTCGACCACATACACAACTGAATGTGAAGACAATAGGCTTGTTTGAGACAAGCAAGACCTGCGCAGACCTGCGCAGTTGCGATCAACGTCTTGCTAGTGCGTTGCATGATGGTTAGTCATTTTGTCCGACTTGCTCTGGAGGCCCGCCCACATGAGACTTTGAAATTTCGCGGGACAAAGACGCCCGCAGCCTTGAGAGCGAGGCGAGGCGAGTTGGCGCAGTTGCTCTCCACGGGCTGCGGAAGCGAAATGCTTGATGGGAAACGTCTCGCTGGTATCTCGAGCTGAGCGCTCATTGGTGGTTTTTACCACGTGCTGCTGATGAAACTCTCCAATTGGCTGGCAAAAGTTTGTTGTTGTTTTGTGTCAGTTTTACGTCGCCACATCCATTCCCATTTTTCATCATTGTTCCACAATGTTTGTCATCATGAAATTAATATCTATATATTTTATACTATACTTGCACTGCTTACCGTTTTCATACTTTATATATCTTAGCATATTCATACACACTGTTCATGCTGCTCACAGGCTGATATCTAGTGTATTCATACCCCTCACTGTTTATTCATCATTCAATTCATTTTTATTCTGTAGGTTGTGTACATTACTTTTCACGTTACTGCTTGTTGCACCTGGTTAGAAGCTAAACTGCATTTCGTTGTCTCAGTACCTGTAATATGTGCAATAACAATAAAGTTGAATCTAATCTTGAGCAGGAACAAATGCATTTACTTAGTACATATCTGACATTAACGAATATACACATTTGTGCATTCTTTATAAATGCAAACTTGTCAAGACCACTGACGGAAGTAGTTTTGAAAAGTAATAAGTGGTTCTGTCTTTTACATGTATTCAACCCCCCTTGTACTGATTTGTTTCAAAATGAACTGACACTTGAGTCATTCATTTGTAGTGATATAATAATTGTGGGATTTCTATTGCATCCACTTCATCTGCAACGGAAAACGCCAACGCAATTTCCGCCATTGCAAACCCAGCCAGTCAAGCCGACTCCGACTCCGAGCTGTCCGACTTAAGACGAGCTTTTTGACCCTCCCCCGGCTGCGATCGGCTACTCTCGTCTACTTTCGAGGCGAGCCGCAATGTGTCTCAAACAAGCCTAATTACCAAGGACACTTATGTTTGCTCAAAGGTAAGGTCAATTCATAAATACATCATATTTGACGGCATATATTAGAAACGTAGATCAAACTATTAGTTTGCTAACGATTGACTTTGACTGCCAACTAGCTAGCGTATATCCAGCCCAGCTAGCTAACGTTAGCTGCCAACTTGTTAGCCAGCTAACTAGCTACAGTGTTATCAACATCAACGTTTGCTATCTGACTTTTCGTCCTCGCTAGTTAGCTGGTGTTTTTAGCTAACTTTTGCTAACTGTCTTTTCACCTCAAAGCACTTCAGAGATGGGAAGCCAACTCTGGAATATCCAGATCCCATCCGGGCTCTCGTGTGTGCTGCTCCGAAAAGACACAGACCCTCACCCAAAAAAAGGTAACGTTACAGTCAGCCAGGTGCATAACAGTGAAAATGATGACCAACAAGGACAGTTATAGTTATAGATTTAATGTAGTGACCACCACTGCTAACATTCAACATCATATTATAATTTCAATGGTTACACAACAGTCACCACTACACACGACAGGCAACAAGATTAGATATTTGATATAAAGAAATACATGGCTACCTTTTTACTCTTGCTTTTAACTGTTAACTTTCATCTGCTGTTGCTTTTATTAGCTCTTTCTTCTATTTTAATGTTATTTTTAACTTGAACTCCCCCCGCGGCCATTGTCAAGAGTCATTCACGGTCGGCTTTGTTTGTCCGAGTTTTCAAAGGGGGCGTGGCTTAGCGATAGGTCTATTGAGTTTAACATAAACATTTGCTGTAAAATTCAATCCCTCTAAAGTGCATCTTTCCAATTGGTTTACATACAGTATAAACACTATATATATATATACTATTCTGACTATTAAAAGGGAAACACAAAGCTATAAATTACACTAGAAACAATTCAGGGTATAAAATATGAGTATTTCTTGCAATATATTATGTGCAAATAACACATACAAAATCCTAAATCATAAATGATTTTGATACAGGCATGCAAGAAAAAAAAAAAGAATATTCATCAAACTTCACAAATTTAGTTTAAGGATATTCAATTAGTCGATGTTTTCCACCACACTTGAATGCAATAAATAAACAAATCTAAACAAGAAAATACCATGAAATGAAGCACATGATCAATGAAAACACTCCAACCTAATATCACATTTTGTAAAACCTTAACTCACATATTTCCTCATTTTAACATGTCAAAAAAAAAATTACGTTAGATTTGTTACAATCGTTTTCCCTTGTGCCAGTCAAGACTTACTGCTGAATGCAAGATGATTTCCTGTTCACTCTGTTTAGTTTTTAATATGTACTGCATTTGAAATGTTGTCTGGTTGCTGGGTTTCACTGGTGACAGTTGGTTGTCATGGACTACAGATCATCAACAGTAAAGGTGAGTCCCGTGGCGGAATGGTTCTCCAGAGTCATGCAATATTCATCCTCGGTAAGCTCCTAGGTGACAAGAAGTCAGACAAAAACATAAACCTCATATTTTTCGTATTCATAGTCTATATTGTTTACAGCAGGACAAGTCTGGATTAAAATGTTTGGACATTTGACCAAGATTGTTGCATATTGCTTTTGTTCTAATCAGCACAACTTTTTGAGTTATATATTTGGCGAGTCAAAACCTTTTGAAATGCAGATTTGTCAGCAGATGATGTGAGCTTTTTTTTTGTTGTTAATGAAAATGACTACAGACAGCTGCAATTTATGCTGTTTAAGATTTAAGATATACTCATATTTTAAGGTAAATTATTAAAGTGGAAGCTAATCAGAGAAATGAAGCTTAGCGCAAATTCAAGAAGGAAGACCATACCCACTGGTGTTACACGTCACTGCAAGCTCTTCTCCCATTAAGTAATCAGGGGCGGTACTCCCCAGCTAGTCAATCATCGCACCTGCTAACCCTTTAAATCTGCTCTTCCCTCTCTGTCAGTTGTCATTTCAGGTGTCAACGCACAACCCGCCTCCACCCCTTCGCCTCCTGTCTCCTAATTCAGGGCCAAGCTAATCCTTCTTCCTCCAGACCAGACCGAACCATTATCACCACCACCAGTGTCTAGACCCGGGGGGTTCATCGGAGCGGTTTTCCCCTCCTGAATGATATCCTACAAACCGGGGCCTAATCTCCAAACATCAGTTGATTCTTTGTTGTAATCTGTCAATCATAATTTTCTATACCACGTGTCCGGTAATAAACATGTATTTCATGTCTCTCATGATTGAAATATGGTTATGTGTTCATGGGTTTAACCTGGACTGCGTTGATAGGAGTGAATCTTGAAAAGATTTAGAAATGTGAGTATGTAGACTGTTGCAATTGGCCTTTAAAACCAGAACAACAAAAAAGACCAACAAGGAACCAGCACATTTTACTAAATGTGCACAGGGGCCCCTTGTCTCATAATCCACCCATGTTTAGAGGGGACCCCGTAGATTGGAGACTACTGGACCAAAATACAGAATTTAAAAGTATTTAAAACTCTCACTGGTATTACATAAGTAATGTATCAATGTTTTATAAATCTCATACTTTCAGTATCATTCTCAACTGTCAGATTCTGATGGAATATTTTCAGTTTTCCATGAATTTCTCAATCAATCGCTTTTTCCCTGTTAAATTATACAACCTTGTCCTTACCTCCCCGAGGTAATTTTACAGGAAATCTCCAAACCAATTTTAAAACCCCTCTCTCACAGGTTTGTGTTTATGTACAAGGTATTCTTTTAACTTTCTTTTTAGATTATTGTTTAATATTTTATATTATGTTATATTGTTTTATTTTACCTATTGCACTTTTCCTCGTATTAAGGATAATAAATTAATTGAAACAGCGCCCACTGGATTGCAACGTATGGTGATCAGTACTTACTCACCAATTGAGCTTGCGTGGTGACAGGTCAGGTGGTATTGCACTCTTGTAGAAGTGGTCGTGCTTACGTAAAGTCACGCAGGTGAAGTTGACATCCCTTGATTAGTAATTTAACGCCTCGAGAAACCCATATGGAGCCGTTACTGTTCAGCACTTCAACAGGTTTAAAACTGAGAAGGGAGGCCTCATAAATAAAAGTTACCTAGGTAGCTAGTTACAATGAAACAAACCGGATAGTAAACAGTGTTTACTAAACAGTGTTTAACACCAGGAAAACACCTTTTCCTGCGGCGCTAATAGCGAGACTAGCTATTTAAGCTAGCTCAACAAAAGTTAGTTGGAAATCAATCGGTCTTAAATTGAACGGCTTAAAATAAACGGTTTTAATAAAACCGTGTCAACATTTTTTTGGAAACTGCCTGGACCTACGCCCGGGACAATTAAGGAGAACAACATTTATGAACATGACAGGGAAGACGTGGAGACTCAACATATATCAGTCAAGATTGTAAAAGTGGGAAATAGAGACTTTCTGGACCCTTTACCACCGTGGAGGACAGGACAACGACTTATTGTAACAGGTAGGCTACGTGAGTCAAACAGACCCCCTCTCTTCATACTTTAGTATAAGTAACAATGCAATAGCATAGAAATACTCTTTTACATACAAAACAGTATTCTCAAAATATTCTTTAAGTGCCAAACTTAAATGATCCCGTAGGTTACTCATTATGCAGAATGACCCATTTCAGAATGACATATTACACATGCATTAACATGATTGATACATTATTGTGTTCATCACTTGAATATTGTATCTGGTAGAGGTACATTTAATTACGGTATACCCTGTTGGCTAGCTTAACCCACATATAATAATATATCACCATTAAAAAAAAAAAAAAAAAAATGTTTTTAATGACCTGAATCTGCAAAGTAACTGGTACAATATTGGCCTCTGACATGTGGAGAAGTAGAAATACAAAGTAGCATAACATGGAAATAATTCAAGTAAAGTACAAGTAGCTCAAAATTGTACTTTAGTAGCCTACATTACTTGAGAAAATGTAATTTCCAGCACTGTTGTCTGATGGGTTGTCTGAATTGATCAGGCATCATGTCAGGGAGCTGAAGTTAGTTTGGGTTTGATTTGTGACTTATTTTACTTCAAACAGAAGTCTGGTGGTTGCTCATTGGATTTGTATCATCCTTTTTATTGTTAGGTTTTCCTTTTATAATAATGAATGACCTTTTAATAACTACCCTCCCAAAGAATACTGCATTTATTTCAAGGAGATAGCTGTTATGTGTTGGTCATGTGTGGAGTCACTTGTATTTTTATAGGAGATACACTACCATAATCTACCGGTTTATTAATTTTTGAAACGTTATCGCTGTAAACATCAGTATTCACTTAATTAGTCAAGACTGATCTACTTTGTTTGATTCAAAACGTGCGTATATCATATTTACTGTATTATTTTATCTGAAGCATCATTTAGCTGTCTTCGAATCATCTGCTTGCTTTATGTTATCCTTTATGTTTAAGTTATTTATAGTTTCCATTTTTTATCATGGTTTAATCTATCTGATTTCATTATGACAAGAGCATTGCTTTTCTTTCTTTATAAAGTTATGTTTAGGGTCTCAAGTGGAATTGTGCCTTTTTTATATAATGAATTCTATGTCGGTCTTTAACCTGACAATTCTAATTAAAGATCAAATTCCCATTTATTTGTACAGACTGTACATGTGTGTTGCTTACCGGGTCTTTGATCCCCTTCTGTTTGTAGTCTTTCTCTGAGCTGCGATAGGACACCACATGGATCAGAGTGTAGACTCTGCGAAGAGAGACACCAAGGTGAAACGAGTAGATCATATGGGAGTGTGAGGAAATGGATTTACAATACTTAAAATAACAACAGGAGATGTCTTAATAATTCTTTATAAGTTAGCAATGTATTTATCCAAATGTCCCTGTTTATGGTCGGGGTTATCCAGCCTATAAATACATTGGCATTTCTTTGCCACAGAATCAAAACTGCAGTATTTGAAAGTTGATGGATTTCTCCGCCTAACTTTCAAAGTCAGTCTGTTAGTAAGCTGTGAAGCTGTCAAATACAAGCCTGATATTACAGCTGCAAAACAATGACAACTGAATGTAAAGGGATTTCTGTGTTTCTGCTGCAAATACACAAGTCGATTCTTACCTGTGATATAACATGGCCACAAACTGGACAAAGAGAAGAACAGCAAAAGACAACAGGAACATCAAACTGAGCGGCTCCACCTGTCAACAGAACATGAGAGGAATGGCGATTACCTTTAGAAGCTGCAGCATTCAAAATATGCACACGTCCTACTTTAACTTTTTCTTTAACTGCAGCACATGCATATACAACTGTATCTGCGTGTCTGTCCAAACCTTGAGGATCTCTCCAGATGCAGTCCCGTTCGGAAGGTATTTAGGGATCTTGATGCTGATTACATCATTTCCAATGGCCTGTAGGAAGAAGGTAGCTACGACCCACAGCACGTTGATGATGAAATACAGGAAGACTGCCTGTTGAAGGGAAGGATCATTACAAAAGTTTTACTCCTAAGACTTTTTATCAAAAAGTAATTTAGTGCCATCAATTTAAAATGGCTAAGTTAGGTAGTAGTCGCCTTTTTGTAGTTTTGAAAAACTTGGAAATAAACTGTCTCTGCAGTGCATTAGCAGTACAGACATCATTCATGTATTACACACAAAAAAAGAGACACATTTGCATAAACATTGAATGACGTTAGCTGACCTTGTTGCGTAGTGACTTGAGTTCTCTGGTGACCTCATCCTTATGTGCTTGAGAATCATTAATAGGTGTCAAGTAGCGATCAATCAACTTGTTCCAGAAGTCCTGCTCACCCTAAACACACACAACACACAAATATTGTCAGGAATATATTTTCAAAAGTTGAAGTAAATGTGTAATTATTAATAAGTAAAGTATCCAAAAATGTACATCTTCCTGTGTTTGTCACCTTACCCTCTCTGTACTGTTGTAGCAGTACATTACCTATTTAGCTTATTTCTTGTACATCTGTAGAAAGCCAACAGTAACATTAACTACCTGTTCTCCAGCATTTTCCGCTCACATAGCCGGGGACGAACAGCGTCTTACCTCTTCAAGTTTCCGCACTTGCGGTGCAGTGAGGGTTTTCTTGATGGCAATGGCAACTTTCTTCTGCAATTTATCCATTCTACTGGTTTTAAGGATACGCCGAGCCTGGGAGATAGGGGAAGTAATTATCAATCAATACTTCTCTCCTTCTTTTTCTTTTACGATTTGTTTTCATAAAATAAAAAGCCTCTTAGATAGGTTATTACATGCTCTTCCAGTGCGTGTTGTAACTCCTCCATCTGGCTTTCTGACAGAATATCTTCAGGCCCCACTGTACCAAGCTGTTGATTGAGAGTATCTATTAACATAAGGACCAGCTCTTCACACACATCTTCTTCACTTATGTTAGGGAGCGCATATCTGAGGACAAATAAAGCACAAAACAATTAACTGTCATTTTACCTTTTTGATATTGTACAGTTTTAGCTGATATAGCAGTGTTACTTTGTTTTGAGACTGCCACAAGAAATACACAAACACATGTAATGAATAACATAAACGCACATATAGTGTTTTACAATGTATGCTTAACATGCAATTATCTTTGTAATGTTAATTATTTACCGTATTTGTTGTTGTAGATTTCTCTTCAGGTTGGCATATGTCAGTTTCTTCAAAAACTCTTCTTTTACCGGCAATACCCAGTCTACATACACACACACACACACACACACACACACACACACACACACACACACACACACACACACACACACACACACACACACACACACACACACACACACACACACACACACACACACACACACACACACACACACACACACACACACACACACACACACACACACACACACACACACACACACACACACACACACACACACACACACACACACGTTAATGTCAGTATTTGTATGCTATACAAACCTAATGAATTGAATGAATTACATTATGCAATTATCAGAAGAAATACACATTAAAGGGGCCTCTTACCTTTGATTGGGAGCTCCTCTGGTTCAGCATGCATTGCGTCATCGTCGTCCTCATCATCCTCTTTGTCGAATGCACTCTCTGTTAGGCTCCTTTTTTTTAAACTGTCATCACTGCACACAGCCACACACACATGTTGTTAATGTTTGGTAGAATGGATTACACAATTCAAGTGTATACATGCTTTAATCCTTCTAGAAGGACAGATTAGCCTAAATCTAAGCATGTAGAGGTGAGTTTTTGTGGATTGCGGTAGGGCTGATCAATATTTAGATATTGTGATACGAGACTATACAGATATAGTCTTTGATTTCGGATATCAACACTTATGTGTCTTCTGCTGGTTTAAAAGATGGCATTACATTAAAGGGATGTCATTTTCTAATTTCACCAAACCATTCTGCCTATTAATGCCCACAACATATTATCTATCTCATTTCACTGTGTAATCAGCCCTACAAATATGTTGCAACATCGATATAAAGATATTTGATCACAAATATTAAAATGATATTCTCCATATTGCCTATCCCTAAATACTGTGTTAATAATCGTCATTAACACAGTATCGAGCTTTGGTTTGGCCTATATTTAGTAAAAAGCTTATTTCCTAGGTGGCAGTACAGGTTTCCATGAGATCGACTGAAACCAAGTTGTGACCAAGTATATTTTTTTATAAGAAGAGAGGAAGGAGAAATGAATACCTGCTGTAGGAAGCAGCGTCGTTCAGCTTCACCGCCTTGTTGGGCTTTTCAGCTCCTTCTTCGGTTGTGATGGAGATGAGTTCCACCTGAGCCTCAGCCGTGTCAGCGGCCTGTTGAGCCATTGCGTCCTGGCTGGTGATGGGAAGAGGAGAGCCTTGCTCTGCAGTCTGGCCTGTGACCTGACGAAGCATCAGATTCTCTGTTTCCTGTGATACCTGTAAAGCAACAAGAACAAATGAAGTCATATATTCATTTGATGGAAGGCTTGTCAGTATCTGTTAAGCAAAAAAAGTACCTGTATCTTCATGTCCCAACAGCAGAGTCTGCAGTTTCTGTCACACAGCATGTTATGGTTCTTCTTCACTTCTCCTTCTCCCCTGAAAGAAAGACACAATGAAAAGTTAGAAATAACATACACTCAGTAACATGTGAACACAAGTATAACACAAGTGGTTATTGGGAATGCAGATTGGCATTACTAAAACTAATGACTTCCCTTCTGCTTCCATTTATCTGTCAGATAAGTCATCAATAAGCTAAAAAGTAGAATTCTAATGTACGTTATCACATATGGGTCTATACGTCTAATTGTGACTTTGACAGTGACAACTTGTATTTCTTTTTTTGTCTTATATTTCTTTGTACGTCTTTATTATGTTAAATATCCCATACAAATAGTGTTGATTGATTTTAATGTTATGTATCACTTTGACTACATTGGTGTTAACTCTTTGGAGTGTTGTTGCATGTTGAGCAGAGACCAAATTCACAATATTTAGTAGGGATGCTCCGATCGCCAATTTTGGGGCCGATCGCCAGAATCAGTATCGGCCGATACCGATCGCCGATCCGATCGAGTGGGTGGACACCTTAAAATACTGCCGGACCGGTGAAGCCATTTTTGAGGAGCTTGCTTTTGCTTTTGCTTGCACAGAGAAAAGTGTCATGTATTTTACTTCATAATTTTTAGGGCTGTCAAGTTAACGCGTGTTGAGAGTTTTTCATAATATGTTTAATACTTAAAAACGAAAGTTAGTTATAATCAAATATAATCAATTATATTCTTGTATAACCCACAATGAAAATGCTTCATATTTTAGGTTTTCTATAGTTACAGTATAAACAAAACAAAGTGGTTTGTTTAGGTTGAATTTTCTTCCTCTCCTCTGGCAGCAGACCACAGGAAGGGGGGGCTTCACACTAAGGGGAGAAACATTAGAGGCCAAAGAGAGTTCATGTCCTTTTTACCTCATATGAAAGGGTGTCTTATCCCATAACAGCTATGGAACATGTTGAGGCATGTTCAGCCTTGTACATTATAGGACATGCGCAGTTCTTCACAAATGGGTGAAGAGGAGGAGTTTGTTTTTTGGGTTTAGGATCCAGTTTTTTTAGCATAAAGAGACTGGTTTTTTGAGAGAGCGCGAGAGAGGGGGGGAGACCCCTGGTAGACTCTCTCCGGGTAGGCTGTGTGCTTCAGAGCTGGGTTAATAGCTCTCGGTAATGTCCTTCCAGACGGGGTAAATATCTCTCGAATTTATTGGTTGTTGGCTGAGTGGAATGATTTGATGAGAGATGTGTGTATGAACCTTTATAAATACCGCAACCTGTGGGGAAATCTTGTCCCCCGAATTTTGCGGACAGGTATGGGTTTTTGAGTGTTAATCCGCCATCTGTGTCGGAAAAAGTGTATGAACCGTATAAATACCGCGACCTGTGGGGAAATCTTGTCCCCCGAATTTTGCGGACAGGTATGGGTTTTTGAGTGTTAATCCGCCGTCTGTGTCGGAAAAAACGGTATGAAACTGATGAGAATTGAGTTGGTGAAATGAAAAAGTTGAATGCGCTTTTTATTGTCACCGGTCTTTTTACGAGGAAATACCTCTAAATTCTATCGGGAGAATTTTAAAATGTCACAACTGAAATGGGCAGTTGGAATTAAAACATTTTGGTAATAAATGTAAGACTGTGAATTAAAGTTTCATTTGAACATGATCACAGCACGGTTTGTTGTTAGTATGATTATAATGTTGTGAGAGAGAAGGTAAAAACCCTGTATTAGTTTGGACCTATTTTTCTTCAAATAAACTGAATCCCACCTGTTGGATTGGGATCCTTTAAAAGACACCTGTGCCCTCCTCTCCTGCGTCAAAGGTAAGATTGCACCCTGCCACACACACTTAGGTAGGAGCACACTCCATTTACTGATATCAAAATCCTTCAGGATCGCTTAAACAGATTAAAAAGAGTTGTCTGAATTGAAACAGCAGTTAATTGAACCTGGTTCTTCGGGGGGGGTTAGGAAGAGGTGAGATCTTGCTGACGTTGGTGGACCTGAGCCAAGCAGCAAACTTACATAGACTCAATAATCTTCGGAAAGGTCAATTAGGAGGTCAGAGTAATTTACCGGAATAAATTATCAGGACCTCTCAAAACTCTAAACATGGCGCCCAACGTGGGGCTCTGTGAAAAGTAATATTTTTACAGAGTCAAAATACAAGAACCAAAACGACCTAGTGAAAAAAGTCGAGGAATACAAATCAGCGAAATACAGGCTGAAAGTCTTGTTAAAATACCTACCCCAAATCCTAGAATATATATAATTAAACCTGAAAGTGTAGTAATTTAAGTTAATACTATTGCACCGGACTGAGGGTTATATTATATCGGATATAGCTGTCTGATTAAAGAAGCTAAAGAAGGTTCATTTTCCCCTAGTCAAATTGAGAAGCCTGTGGTCCCTTTAACACAGGTTTAGGTGGCTAAAGTGAAGTCAGCCGTAGGAGCACTGCTCAGTACTTGTCCAATTACTTTGAAACTTATAGGTAGGACTTGACCAAGAGCTGCGGTTTGAACTTTTGCGTTAAAACATAACGTGGGGAAGAGTTAATGGGAGATTTAATAAAGATAAACATAGGTCTAAAGGTACCTATGCTGTTTAAAAAATTCGAAGCTCGGTAAATACAACTCTTAGCTGAGGTACCCGCATGTACTAACTGAATCCAGAAAGAGAACTTAGAACCAAGTGACGGTATAGTCGGACTGTACACCCGTCGAGAGTAAAGCCTAGGAACTTGCATGTGTATAAAAGAGTGAACTTGAACCCTTTAATACATTTGTGTTGTTTTTTAAAACAAACAAACAAAAATAAATGGCGGACGAGGTTAGAACGCAGTTTTTAATGACTCGGAGCCAACCACACAGGGGGGATACACAGAAGCAAAATCCGGAGCTTCTGCCCGCCCTGGTCAGCTTAGCCCAGACCCACGGGCGTACCGCGACCAACATACTTTCCTGTCAGACTACCGTTTGACAGAGAGCAACAAGCAGGTGGTATAATGTTTGAGACCCTATCTCCACCATACAGGGATAAAAGCTCAAAAATTGCCATTTTGGAGTATCCCATCTACTACTCCTAAAAAAAAAAAAAAACATTGTTAGACATGATATTCAGGAAAAAGGAATGTTGGAAATAATAATGTCAAATATTGAAAATCCTAAAACTGGATCAACAAACCATGTTAATAAATCCTGCTAATAGGAAGCTAAAACATGCAGGAGAAATAGCAGTAGCTCTGGAAAAGAGAATAGGTCCTAGCATGCAAGCACAGAGTGATAATATGATAAGGACTATTAAACTGTCAGAAGGCAATGTGGTGATCAGATGACCCACAAATACCGGTTGTTTTGAATGTACTTTTAAGAAAAAAACCTATGTGGGAACTATCAGCAGATATCAAGCCCCTAAAAAATATCTTCAAAACTAATATGAGAAAGTTTTTGCGAAGCTAAAGCTCAAATAGTTTACCAAAATCAACTAAACTATTTACTTTTGACCCCTTTTTGGGAATGGGATTTTCCGTTACACAACGGAAAACTCAATTCAAGCCTTAAAGAACGCTTTAAGGACAAGTCAATGAGAGTTAAATGTGGTGCTGTTTTGCTCATAAATGGAGCTTGCACTTTTGGAAAAAAGGTCTCCTCTTTTCTCTGCTCCCGAGGTGCTGCAGAAACACGCAGCACACAGGGTCAAAGACAGGCGTGACCTCTGGAGGGGAAGAACATTTGAGCAGACCACGAAAGACCATTAAAAGTTTTATGGCCCCAGCACAAGGGAAATAGTGTTCCTCTCACCAATGAATAAATCAACTCTTAACCAAGTCGGATCTAAAATAGACATAGCTCCAGTTGTTAAGAAAAAGAGGGAGATTCAAAAAATTATCTTAACACCAGAACAATAATATCAATATCAAAAACCAAAAGAGTATGTTGAGACCCATTCTCAGAAACTAACAATGTGGAGATAAGGAACCAGGGTGATAGAAAATCTGTGTTATTCATGTCCATGACTTGATCAGGAACAGAGGAAGAATTATCTCCTGAAGAGAAGCATCTTGCACTTGCATTAAAAATGTATCCAGCCCTGAGGGAAATGTCTCAAGGTACCAAAATGTGCATATACACTCTTTATTTTTCAATATCTGAAGCTACTAAACAAACTGTTCAGGGAGAGAAAACAATGATGAGTAGATGAAGAAAATGGAAGATGATAATGTCTGATCCAGATGTGGGGTGCAGAGGACCTCAGGAAGTAAGCCAAAAAGGGAAACATTGAAACCCTTACAGAAAACCGCTACTCCACAGATAACACTGTTTACAGATGGGAGTATGCGAAAAGGTGACCAAGCAGCCACTTGGGCCTTTATAATGAAAACTAATTCAGGTGAAGTACTTTGCAAGCAAAAGGGTGCAATACCAGGTACAGCCTGCTGAGGAAAAGGCCATTTGTTGAGGGACTTCCTTTTGCTAAAAAAGGAAAAATAGCACACATCCGTATTGTTACTGATAGTGATTATTATTAAAAAGCGGGTAAAGAAGAGCTTAATAATTGGAAACAAAGGCAGTTCAAAAATGTGAAAGGTGAAACGCTGACACATGCCCATCTATTGAGGGTCTTATTGCAGAGTTAAAGGCAGGCATGTAGAATGGAATCATGTCCGTAGCCATACAGATAAGATCAAATTGACTATCAGGGTAATAGAGAAGTTTTACCTTGCTTAAAGCACGGGACAAGTTAACCACCTGACTGCCATATTCCCTAGAATATGGAAAAAGGGTGGAAGCATTCACGTACCACCTGAAGAAGCTCCTTAGGTTGTGTGTGAATTACACAGCAGTTTAGGCCATGTGGGCCTATTTCAGATGAGAAAATATTGTCTCCACAATAAAATCCTCTTACCAACACTGCGATTGCACCTACAACACACATGATCAACATGTCTTCAATGTGTAGAGGTGGATGGGTTTAAGAAAGTTCATCCTGAGCATCTTAAAATAATAGAGGAAGAACCACTAACCATTTTTAGTGCTGACATAG